TCCAGGCAAATACCTAGACGTTCAGGACGCCCCTCATATCTCAAAATCAAATCCCATTTAAGGTGTTTAAAGCCATCGCCATGCAATGATAATCGACATTGTACCGGCATTGTTTGCGCTTCCTAATAAATGCCTTCGATTTTTGTAACAATACTCCAAGTTTTACAGTCCCGTTCAGTGTCCACGAATAGTTCTAAGTCGAGGTTGGAGTTTCCACGCATGTTAAACTATAGTATTTTTATAAAATAATTTTTAAATCTCGCATTCTGGGAGCACACAGCACGCGCGCGCACTTCCAGTTTCGTCATTCCTGTAATTTGATTCCGCTACGCGTCGTGCTTCTCCTATACCACCTCTCGTGTCCTGCCAACCCCCGCGTGCTTTATAACTGCACACAGCAAGCGAACGCGTTTTCTATTTCTTCAACTATGCACGGCAACTCCGTCCCTCGACTTGGAACTATTATTCGTGGTCAACGAACGGAACTGTAAAATGTAGCATTCATTTTATTACGGGATAGGGACCAACCTCAACCTGAAGACCAGTACACTCTTTGTCTTGGCTCCCTAAACTAAACAAAAAAATATTTTTTAACWATAATTTTCATTAATTTCATCCCAATATTTTAAACGTCCAAGAAAGTAAAATTTGCTATCCCAACCCATTTTGTTAATCACAATAATTACTCGAATTAACTTATTTTTTTAAAGATTTGAACGAGTCCCGAGGTCTAGATCTGTTCCAAGTGGCTTTGGTACAACTGCCTCAGCACACCATTTGCTTTGTTCAACAAATCCTGTGGTGTATCAAACTCCACCACCCTTCCATTCTCTAGCACTAAAATCTTATCATAGTCCATTATAGTATTCAACCGATGGGCAATTGTAATCACAGTACATTCCTTCAGCTTGGTTCGAATGGTCTCTTGTATGAGACTATCCGTCTTGTAGTCTACGTTTGCAGTKGCTTCATCCATGACTATGATCTTGCTTCTTTGAAGTAGAGCTCGAGCGAGACACAGCAGTTGGCGTTCTCCCGCGCTAAGGTTCACTCCACATTCCTTKAGCTTCTGGTTAAGTCTCTCTGGCAGATTTTCGACTGTAGACCTCAGACTGGCACCGTCTATTGCTTCCCAAATTTCATTATCGCTATGGTGATCAAAAGGATCCAGATTGAATCGTAAGGAACCAGTAAAAAGGACAGGATCTTGTGCTATTACTGTCATTGCTYTCCGAGAATTTTGTAGATTAATGCTTGTGATATTTATCTTATCGATAAGGATCGACCCATTAGGGTCTGGCATTCGGAACAAWGCAGATACAATCGACGACTTTCCTGCCCCGGTTCTTCCAGCAATTCCTATCCTTTCTTGAGGATTTACCTTGAACGACACATTATTCAATACATTTCCTGCTCCTTGGTAGTACTCCAGAGAGACATTTTGGAGCTCAAGTTCTCCCTTCTGCGGCCAGTCTTCTGGGGCCTGGGTTTCAATATCGTACCCAGGTTCTTCTTCGAGTTTGGTGTACGTCATCACTCGCTCTACTGACGTCATGTAGTTCTCAGTCTCCGAGCACTGGCGAACTCCGTACTGGGACGTGTCGACTGCTAACTGCAGGGCGTAGATGAGAGAAAGAGCAAGCGATCCTACAAATGATAAATACATATCACTGAATAATATTTGGTGACTCCTAACTTATCTGGCAGATAGCAGATACATTCTGTCATTATTTAAATTCTCAAAAGCTAGGTCAACCAACATGCAATCTCCCTATCAATTATCAAACAAATTGTCCCAGTTCTTCGAGGGTACCCATGACTTAACCTAGCCAGTGGAAAATAAAACTGCGACCCTCATTCCATCGTCAAATTGGAATTTAGAAGTTGGTTTTTGCGGTTGGAGAAAATTAAAAAGCGGCTGGAGGAAATTAAAAAACTGGACTGACCAGAAGAAAAACCCTCCAAGCATAGGAAACCAACAAACAATTCTATTCATATCTAATGACGAGTCTGACAAGTGTCAGTATAGCCTCTGATTAGTGCTAGTGTGAGTATTTTTTATGAACGTTTTTGTGTACTAACCTGCTCCAGAATCCATAGCAAGTGCAGCAAATACGACAGCTGTTGTGAAACACACACAGAGAATGTCAAGTCTCAGYCCAAGCCAACGTAGACTTGATAGAAGAGTAAACCAAACACGGGTATGGTCGTCTTGATACCTGCAAGCACACAGGAACCCAAAAAGGTCTTATTAATTCTGCAACACTAAGAAACTTGACCAAAAATACAATACATCCTGCAACACCAAGAGACCTGACCAAGAATACGATACATCCTGCAACACCAAGAAACCTGACCAAGAATACAATACATCCTGCAACACCAAGAAACCTGACCAAGAATACAATACATCCTGCAACACCAAGAAACCTGACCAAGAATACAATACATCCTGCAACACTATGCAAATATGGGAAAACAAAGTAATGCAAAAGAGCTGCACTTACTTATATAAATTTCTAACGAATGCGTTTTCCATGTCGTGATTTCGTATRGTAACCAAGCCCTCCAAGGTATCCGAGAAGTGCGAGAAGACTGGGCTCCTATTCAATGCTTCGAGTCTTCGTAGCTCCCTAGACGTCTTTAGATAATACTTCCCAACGAAATAAAAGAGAATAGCCATGGTAATAGCTGCGAYTGTTACCATGGGATTCAAGATGGASGGCAGRATGATGGCACCTATGCAGAAGAGCATCAGTTGKACAGCATCAAGGAAGACTATTGGAAGAAGGTCATCCATTACGCCAATRTCACGTGAGAATCTATTCAGGATTCTACCAGTTGGGTTAGTATCGAAGAATARGACTGGTGCTCTTAAGACGCTCTTGGCCATAGCATCGTGGAGGCTCTTTGAAGAATTAAGTGTTGCGAAGAAGAACAGCACTGAACGAGTGACGGACATTAGAAAAGCAACGAYTACGAGTCCACCATAGACGTACAGGTTGGAGAAGTGGTTCCTTGTGTTGGATTGTAGTTGGGAGATGTGTAACAACCACCAATCGGGGAAAATTAGAGCAGCTGAATTGAAATCATAACATAAAGTCTTAATAAATCTTACACAGTACAAGCTGAAAGCAAACAACAAGCTGGACTTGGGAAAATTAATTTATTCCAGATTGAATTGCTGGCTTGCATTCTCAGCTGAAGAAGAGATCATTAACTAAAAACACTTTTAAAGATCCGAGATGTTAAATCTGGAACATTTTCAGAATCAATGTGTTTTCGCTACTTGGATAGTTATTTAATATGTGATTCATATCGATTCAAGTAATTTTTTTTTTCGGGAAAAATCCGAGCTGGAAAAAGGAAGAAACATAATCATATTTTCAATTTTCAGAATCATTTTTACCTTGAGTAACGATGAAGAATATGATAAGCAACACCATCATCATTGGCCACAAACCGTAAACAAGATAATCCCAATACAGACGCCAGGATACCGATCCAGTGTGTCGATCCTCTTCTGCMACCTCCAGACCCTTCTTTTCATCCKYCTTAAAGCTCAGAGTTGCTGATAAACGTCGTGTGTCCATCGCTCTGGTCAAWGGWGGGCTGTCGTCGTACTTGGYAAAGAGACACTGGAGCTCAGAATTGGTGTCAGCRTTGAGWCCTTCATAAGTACCCTCGTAGAATATCGACCCATTTTTCATGAGCACRACATGATCTGCACCTTTTAGATACTGSAGCTGGTGAGTGACAAGGACTCGGGTCTTRTYYCTTAGAATTCCGCAGATACATTCATGGAATATGTGTCTGCCAACYTTTGCATCTACAGCACTTAAAGGATCGTCTAGTAAGTATACATCCGCTTCTGCGTACATTGCTCGTGCAAGTCCGATMCGAGTGCGCTGTCCRCCGCTTAGAAGGACTCCTCTTTCACCRATCAGCGTCAGGTCYCTGTTGGGGAAGCTGGAAATATCSTTTTCYAAATCACATGCCTTGATTATTGCTTGGTATTTTGATCTTTTGAATTTCTGGCCAAAAAGGATGTTTTCTCGGACAGAACCTGAGAATACCCAAGGTTTTTGAGGCACATAAATGGTGTGTCCAGTAACCAGCATCCTTCCTTCTTTCACCGGTAATTCCCCAAGGATTGTAGACAATAGGGACGTCTTGCCACATCCTACTGGCCCGGTAACAAGKACTAAATCATTCTGCTTCAAATCCAAGCTCACGTCTTGAATGGATGGATAGTTTTCACCATTCCAGTAACAAGTTACATTTTCAAGAGAAACATGGATATTCTTGGTGTCATYGTCTTCATCCAAAAATACATTATCAGAATCATCAGTTTTCTCGTTGTCAATCTTCMCTTCTACAWCGTTKAGGTTGGGATCCGTCATCYCCTGCTTTGTGGGAGARRAMGGCAAGAACACAAAGTCGTCTCTTCTGGGCYTCAGTTCYTGGAGTTCGAGGAACCCTTGGATTCGTYKCAAGGCGGAGGCAAAATCCCCGATRTAGTTGGCTCCYTCGGCGATGTTCCATGCGACAGACGATCTTAAGGTGTTGATGAATGCAAGCGTCATGAATATATTGAAGGTGTTCAACTCTACGCCGGYTGCCATGAGAACGACTAAAGAGATAAAGGCGGCGATACCTTGGGCTGTGTACAAAAATGACTGAAATGTGGCGAGGATGATTCCYTTATGGCGGAGAAGGCGAATTTCACGACTGGAAGATAATTGGGCACATGCAAAAACGTTAGTACCAGGTACTAAACAAAGTTATTAAAATAAGATAGGGAAACTGGGGTAATTGTTCGTGATTTCAAGTTACGACCCTAGCTGTGAGAGAAAACAAGAGGAATAATTATCGATAAATTTTCAATCAGAACCTACCCACGTATTGYCTTCAGTCTGTYAATGAATGGTCCTTCCCAGGCGTACATCTTTACTGTTCGTATCCCAGTCARAATGGTACTCATGAAKCCTAATCTTAAGTCTGAAACCTTGGCGATTTTATTTCTTATATACACACAGACCCGTCCCATRCTGCAGTAATAGAGTACCAGGACTAACAAGAATAAGACACCCGAGACAGCCTGGTAACCAACCACGTGAATAAGAAGGGCAGATATTGTAGCTACTTCAAAGATTCCTTGAAAGAATAGTGCCATCTGCGACACTACGGGATCAAATCGTTGGACATCTCCTGTCACCAGGTTGATAATGTACCCTGTGGATGCGTATGCCAGGGTTGTCTGACTCAAGCGGAAGATCTTTGGATGGAATAAAATGGGAAAGCTAATATGAAAATCATATGATACGTCGCGCAAAAAATCTAAATAATTAACATCAATGAATCGATATTTTGCTTATGCTCTCTAGAAAGCGCTATTTTTTGTTGTTGTTGTTGTTGTTGCTGTCCTATTGATTTCAGTAAATTCGAGCTAGCATAACAATACCCGTAGAGAAACAACGGGTTAGAATCTTATCCCCTTGTTTCTATAAACAGAGGGGGTACAAGCCACTTTGATATTGAGTCTGCTGGAAGTCCATATATTGACGACAACTTCTCTTTCTTACGCAGAGCAATGGATTGGCATATTTTTGATTTTTGATCAAAAATTGGTCTTTGGCTACTAAAAATATGCATGAAAAATTTAAAAAAGCATCTGTCTTACCTTATTGAACATCAAACCCATTGTAGCAATTCTCCATTTCATAGCCATCAACCAACCATTATACAAAAATTGGTGTAAGACCAATACACGAATGAGAGAACTAAAGCAAAGTGCTGTAGCATATATATATAAATGGTCCTTGTTCGATCCTGGAAGGCCCAGTAGAATACTTARAATCATCGCCAGAAACACCGGCTGGCACATATTACAGAAAGCCGCAACGAGTCCTGTTGATGCCAAAAACATGTAATGCGACAAAGGCGACATCCTGATAAGTGCCCAAAACAAACGCCACGACTCAGAGCCATTTTTTTGTCCCTGGTCCCAAGAGTCCCAAAGTTCGCGCGTAACCACTCGAGTCTTGTCCCTTGTGAGGATTGGATAAAGGTCCTCGTTTTCTAGTGGTCGTTGGTTTCCGATGCGAAGGATTTTGTTCATCCACCAAAACGTCAAAGACGACAAGATATTCGCTGATGACGAAGGATTTTCTTTGGATACTTCAAGCTTTTCATATTTGATCTTCCCCGGCATTGCTATGATCAATCTAAAACGAAAATGTTTTAAAAATTAATGAGCAAAATCTTTACCAATCGAGGCGTCGCAATAAAAACCTATCTATGCAGTGTACTGTCACAAACATGCGAAAAAAGTCAAAACCGTTAATTGAGAATTTGTTTTCAAAATATTAGTAAAGGTCAGAACCTTGTCAAAACAATTTTTCTTGGCTTTAGAATTGAAAGAATTATAGTTTACGATAAAATTGTAGCTCCTAGACGTATAATAACTCGATCGAAACGGATAAATCAAGAAGTTGAAGAGATAGATTAACACGAAGTTTTTCTTTTCTTCTCTCCTTTTTGTTTTGTTTTTGTTTTCCCCCCGATTTCACAAGTTTAGAATCATCCCGTGAGGTGAGTTCAAAAACCCTCAATRAAAAATAAAGTTCAAGGAATCAGTTCACAAATAAGATGCTGTATATTGCAAAACTCACCCCAAAGTTGTGGAGAATTTTTTTTGCTCAACAAATTCCTGGCCTGTCTGCCTTTTGTCGCGCTGAATGAATCGAATGTGATCTATCGCCTAGTGTAGGACGTTTACCAGTCTTCTTTAAGAACTAATGAATATGTGGAACCCTAGATATAAGATCGCCGAATTGAAGTTTGCAATTGCAAGCACTTGAAGAAACTGAACAAAAACTCCAACGCCTTCAAGCTAATAGATAGACTACGCTGTACAGTCTTCTACCCTAATTGGTTTGGATAATAACTCCGATCTGTTCTCATTGGTCCAAAACCCGTTTTAATTTTTGAACGATTTTATTTTTTTCATAATTGTTTATTTAAATTCTACTTCGGTGTCCAACCTAAACTGACAGCTTTAAAACAGCTTTCACATTCAATTAAACCGATTTTTTTGCCAAATAAGTCAATGCTTACTTGTCACTAAACTAGTTTTTGAGTGACTATATTGCTTATCTCTTGTCACCAAAGTTCTCACAAGCCAAAGCTTAATTCTAGATTAGTTTTGAGCACATAAACCGGGAACGTTCGCTAATTGCTTGAGAAGCTTACAATGTCTTTTGAATACTCTAAGTTTTACAAGGATCTCAGAAAAGCGGAAAGAAACACTTGATGAGACTTTCTAAGTAAGTCGCCTGAATTCAAGCACCAATTAACGTCTATACMCGACTATCTATAGGCTAACGGTTCGATGTTTGAGAACCAACTGCGCTAAAATAACATAAAACTCTTGTTTTTCGCCTCGCATTTCCAAAAAAGTAAATGAAAAGTTTTCGTGTTAAACAAGGGATAAAACAGAGTACACGGACGTGACTGGATTAGAAGGCAGTTAATCCCCGCCCCCAAAGTAAATTGCTTTAATATTTACATTCAATTCATCTTATAGTATAAGTACGCCCGGTTTACATCGCTATTAGTAATCATGCTACAGATAAACCATACCTTCGTTATAGTAACGGCACTAYATTGAACCTTTCATTTGTCGGCATGATTTTTTTTATAACTGCCTACGAGTTAGTTCCTAATAAATAGTGTACAGTTATCAGTTTTCTCTCGTGGTTCGGCACACAACGGCAAGAAAGCTCTCTCTAGACAAGGATTACAAAGACATTTCTGTCCTTTTTTACATCAAAAACATGACCGAAAAGGCATACGAGCGAAAAACCTCTCACACACCTATACCTAGAGAATATACTTGTTATTGAAAATAGTTTACGAATAGCTCGTTAGGTTAGAATTTAAGGCAAAATCGTTAGATAAMTATATTTTCAAATTAAAGAAGAAGCTAGAGGTATCGATATTATGATTACACTGAATAGGTTGTAGCTTGAACAGAAAGTATCATATTGCCGGAGCACTCATACGGACAACCACTCTTGATATATGATGAATATGAAAAATAGGGGGCATTGCATATTGGTGTAAACACCCTGCACTCCAGAGGGGTCCCCCCCCTTTCCCCAGCAAATTTACTGAGAAAAGTGTCGTCCAGGAATCGATTCCGCAGTTCAAACACTGWATTCTACTTGACTCAAAAGACCTCAAAATAAACAAAACAACAACATCAAAAACAAACAAAAACCAATWTTAAAACTAAAGACTGAAATACCGCTATATAACCTAAATAGCCTGAAAGTCTTGCCGTCAAAATGAAAATTCCCCTTGTATTTTGACTGCTATTCTACTCAAGCGAGAGATAGCAGACCTCAATAAACTGATTTAATGACGAATGATTAATTGTAACAAGTGTAAATTATTTATGATAATATGAGTTATAGAGAACAGAAGTGCCAGGAATAAAGTTATATTTTTTTTCAGTAATTTAACGAAGCGAAGGCGTCCGTCCGTAAGGCTAATTAAATGAATACTGAAAGAGATGGCCGACCTTTRCTTGGCCGGCATTTTTCACATATAAACAGGTTCGGCTCTAACTGGGGGGGAAAAATAATTTTAGTCAGTGAAGACCGGCCGTTCCACTTCGTACCCGGCCCGAAAGACCCAAGCCGCTATGCGGAGGTGAAGGACTTTGATTGGCTGTATATATTCACAAAAAGAGTCCTCGACTGAYTGCCTTAACTCTCGTTATTTTTTTCCGGTCCGGTATCCTAAAAAATCRTGCGTTCTGATTGGATGTTTGAGCGGGCGGTATTTCGTCAATATCTGCCCGCGCTCGCGGTCCGGTATCCTTTGCCGCCAAACAACAAAACAAAACGTGATTACAAAAACAAATAAAAAATACGGGAAAAAATAAATAAGTTAGTTACCGTCCTATAGTCGGTCCGGATAGGGAAAAACTGTGCCCTCGGTCTTTATAACGGAACTCTGCCTAACGCCTCGGTCCGTATATTCAAGACCTCGGGCACAGTTTTTCCTATTCGGACCTCCTGGTCGGTAAATAACATATTTATTTTCAGAAAAAGATTAAAATTTTCAATTATTTTATCTTATTTTACTTTGATTATTTTTTTATTTTTTATTTAGTATAACTGAAGTTATGAGTGAAGAGGAAGCATAGACGTTAAAAATGTTTATTCATAACAGCTTGTTCAAAAATGTTATGCTCATCTTGGCCAAAATTAGTGAAGAAAAGCCACTGAGTTTCTATGCTTTGGCGATTTTTGGACTCCCTGGAGTCTAGATCACAGATGTTAGCATTGATCAAGAGAATATTCTATTGTATTGATATATTTCGTGATAATTTTACCTTTTTCAGTGATGCATAATTTAAACTTCAAAAAATTTAACTTGATCATGAACAGTTGTCGTCWTTTTCGATAATTGCTTTTTGACAAAATGGCTGATGAGGGATATTCTGGATCAATAATAAACAGTCTTCGACGTTTTAGTCAGTTATACTAAAATAAGGTCATTGTGAAATAAATAAATTGAAAAGTAGGATAGAACTGAAGAAATTAAAGCCATTTTGAAACTAAAATACTAGAAAATTAGTCCAAAATATATCATAGACTTGATGTCCAAGTTCATTTTATCAACACTGAACAAAGTCTCCAAGTGTGTTGCTAAGGTTTTAGGATGAACGCTTTTAAAGAATTGAAAAGTTTAGTATGAAAACACTGAATAATGCAGGTCACTTGTATCACAAAACGTCTGGCGAAGCTGCTAGACAATGGCCTTTTTGATATACCAATAAACCGTACAATATAAAGAACTAGCGAACCATAGAAATAGTAAGCCCATATCCCCATGAAATTGTCTCTGAGAGTAGTTTATGCTCCGAGCATTGTTCAGGTAGTTAGTTTTTAATTTTGATTRAATATAAGGTCAAAATAAAACCGGYAAAAMAWTCACTGAATTTGTCCTGATACAAACGTTAAACTACCTCAGTCGTATTTTTTACTTACTTTTATCAATACTGTACTCGTCGAACAAACTTTACCAATGTTATTTGTGTTTGTAACTCATTTAGGAGTCGACTGATTCCCCGAAGTATCTGATACATCAGAGTCTTTGAGCTAGCTATCTTTCATCTTTGACAAACTTTTCWAAAATCCCTACGTCACTCAATCACGCAGTACTTGACTGTTTGTCAATGGCAACGTTCGTTAGTTGTGATGTTTTAATGTTTGCTGAACGCCATACGTAATGAAAACACGATAACATATAAAGTTTACCTAACTATTTTGGCCGGTAGCTATCATCCATACAGCCAGAACTGTGGGCGTCATCTTTTATCAGGTGCTCAGTTTATCCAGCGCTTGCCTTTCTGCATTGTCCATTAACTTAAACCAGTCCAAGCCAAGTTAGACAAAAAATACCACTTATGGAGTTATTTTAAAATACGAAAATAAGCTTTTAAAAAACTACATCACTTTGAAAGGATGCTAGTGAATAATAATGCTGAGTTTTCTGATATGTAAACAAACTATCCGCGTCGGTGAGCATGATTAACTACAAAGCACTTTACTAGGTTGTTCCAATWCTATCTGATTTTAAATTTCGGATCAGTCATTATATAAAAGCTGAAAATTTCTTGAAAAACCGGTTCTTACAAAAAACCGTTGTCTATAGGAGATTTTGAGTCATACAAATTTATATATTTTGTCATCATAATTGACATTACATTCTGCTATAACCTATTACTTTTGGCAAAACGATTGATAATAAAGTGTGCATTTTGCCGACTAATACGAACCCCAAAAAAATTAACAATAAGGTGTTGAATCCAAGGAAGCCTAGAAAAATTAAAAACGTGGACATTTAATTTGAGTTTCATGACATTAAAGAAGGTGTACACATAAAAACAAAACAACTATCGTTGCGTTTTTCTACGGTTGAAGGACTCCTATTCAGTTGCCAGCCACGAGGGTACAGTTCAATACCGGTATTTCAATTACTTCAAAAATGTCTTATTGACTTTAGTTTTGCTTTGCAAACCTAGTCTAAATTTCGAAATATAACTGTCTTATTTATTGGGAAAYTCAAGTTTATCAATCACAAGCAGATGGCAGGTTCAATGAAAATTTAYAATACAATGTCGTTGTCAAGGTGATCTACCTTGTACTCCTTAACCAAAGTACCCATTAACGGTTTGATCATTCAAAAGCAGTTGACCTTGTTGAGCGACCAATGGTCGGTTATTGGTCGATTTAAAGAGATGGTCGACTTACAAAGGTGGGCAATTGCTTAAGAAAGTAATACAGTCCTTGATGTTTTATCCCTGACCAACACGACATAATACGGTGAAGGAAGTTATAGGTAAAATTTAACGAATAATTTAAAAATATTTTTCATCGATAAATCTTTGGTAATTACTAATTAGAGCATTAAAACAGAAATTTAAAAAAAAACTTCAAGCATACAACGAAAGTTTTAGCTGCGCGAGTAAAAAGTAAATCTGCATAACTCGATCCTATCCGGCTTACAACTCGTGTTCAAACTGCGATAGAGTTCAAGACTAAATACGGTTTGATTAACGGTAGAGAAAACTTGCTCCTTTGATTTTGCTAGTTGTTCCTTCATCTTTTTTGAAATGTTGTATTGAAATTGAGTTTGTTTGAGAATAATCTTTTTGAATCATCTGAATATTGATTGATCAACGATTTTCCGATCTGCCGCCGTGAAGAGAATGAGACATCCTCACGAAAGTGTTGCTTAGCTACATAGAGCCGGTAAGATTCGTTTCCATGAGACAGCTGAGCAGTTTTTATCAGGAACTGCTTTACGATTTAATTAATCCGYAGAACTAAGGTTTTGGATAACAACACCAGTTGCCTAAATAAAAGGGCAATTCG